GAGATGTTATCTTCTGAGCTCTACCTTGAAGAATCCGGGTTTGGCTTTGAGAGAGGCACCGTTGGGTCCAGAGACTGTTTGATTCAGCAGAGTTCAGTTTCAGCTTCAGCGTCTTGCATCTAACGTTTGGACAGACCTTGGTTTTCCAGCTCTTAGTCCAGAGCAGCTTGGGTATCCAGAGAAGGATCTTCAGGTTTGGCTCAGAGGGCAGGTTCGACAGGTTAAGCTCATCCAGAGTTTATAGGACAAAAACTGGTTTCCAAACTGGATAAACACTGCGGCGTTGATGCGAGGTCTGAGGACTGCTTATATGGTGGAGGATCCTCCTGATGACGAGATGGGCTTCAGGTGTGTCGAAGGCTCAGCTCAGGAGGATCCACAGCGAACTCTGCTGGAGACAGGTGGTACAGCTCCAGATCCCAACACTCACCCTTATTCAGTAAAAATAGGATCCTATAAGAAGTTGGGCCAACTGTATAAAGTGGGAGGAGACTGAAATCCAGGGCGCCAGTGACCTTAGTCTAACTATTGTATCTGATGGGGTGGTCGAAGTTAGTGTAACAGAAGCTGTAGAGATGGAGGAACCCAATAGCTGTAAAGAAGTCAACAAACTCCACCTTCTGCTGTGGATTTACCCCCACAGCAGAAGGTGGAGCTCCAGGTCTGTCTGCAGAGGTGGAGAAAGGTGTTTTCTGTGGATGAAGAAGAAGTCGGGAGGACAGACTTGGTCCAGCATAGCATACAAACAGGTAACGCAGCACCCATTAAAGAGAGGTATCGACCCTTGCCTCCTTTAATTTACAAAGAAATTAAGACACTCCTGGCAGATATACTGAATAAAGGAATTATTTGTGAGGGTAAGAGCCCATGGGCTGTACCTATTGTCATGGTGAGGAAGAAAGATGGGAGCCTGCGATTTTGTGTAGATTACAGGAAGCTTAATGCTGTCACTCATAAGGATGCTTCCCCCCTTCCTAGGATTGAGGAGACCTTGACATCTTTAAAAAAGGCTGAATGGTTTTCAACGCTGGATTTGGCTAGTGGCTACTGGCAGGTGGAGATAGACCCTAAAGAAAAAAAGAAGACTGCATTTACCACACCACTCAGTCTCATAGAGTTTAAATGCATGCCGTTTGGGCTTTGTAATGCTCCCGCCACATTTCAGCGTTTAATGCAGCAATGCTTAAGTGGCATACTTACAGACTGCCTTGGTCTATTTGGATGACATTATTATATACTTACCAGATTTTTCTTTCCATGTTAAACATCTCGAAACAGTTTTCCAGAGGCTTTGGCAGCATGGTCTGAAACTTACGTAGATTGGACAAATGTAAGTTGTTTCAGTCTCAGGTTAAGTTTCTTGGCCACCTTGTTGACAGGAATTGGGTGAGACCTGATCCTGAAAAAAATTGTGCTGTAAAGAATTACTCTGTTCCAAATACCATTCGCCAGATCAGAGCTTTTCTAGGCCTAGCTGGGTACTATAGAGGTTTGTCCCTGGTTTTTCCAAAACGGCTTGCCCTTTAAATTCTCTTCTATTAAATTATTCTTCTGTTAATTTGGACACCTGCCAATAGGTCAGAGAAAAAGATTACTTGGACAGTTGATTGTCAGGAAGCATTTGAACAGTTAAAGACTGCAGTTATATAAGCCCCTGTTTTTGCTTATGCTGATTTCTCCCTACCATTTGTCCTTTATACCGATGCAAGTAAGCAAGGTTTGGGTGCTATCTTAGCCCAGGTGCAAAGTGGGCGAGAATATGTGATTGCCTATGCTAGTCGGAGTCTGCATCCTGCTGAAAGGAACGATGCAAATTACAGCTCTTTTAAACTGGAACTCTTGGCCTTAAAGTGGGCCATCACAGAAAAGTTCAAAGATTATCTGACGAGAGCCAAGTTCAGTTTTTACGGATAAGAACCCAGTGGCACACCTTCAAACTGCTCATCTGGGAGCAACAGAACAACGTTGGGTAGCGCAGTTGGCCTCTTTTGACTTCATTGTAAAATATCGGGCCGGGAAGGAGAATATTAATGCTGATGCCCTGTCTGGATTTCCCGTAGGCCCACCATCAGAGGTCCAAGCTGCCTATGTAACCAATGTTGCAGTTTCTCAGGAGCCTTGATTACAGACACAGGATTGGAGGCAGGGGCGTCTCTAGGTTTAAGAGACAAGGGTGGCTCAGCCCCTAGAAGAAAATGCACGCGCGTAGTGCGCGCCGAATTTTTTCAGTGCACCTGCTAAGGCGTTGTCTAAGACAAGGGTGTAACTTTGTGTTGAAAGTTGGTGGGGACGGCTCATAAGGAAAGGGAGCTACCTGCGCGACGCCTTTATTTTTTGTTGGAAAGGATAAAGCAAAAAAAATGCAAATAATATTTATCAATTTAATGCTTACAGTTGAAAACATAACTGTTACAATATTCACTTATATATTTTGTGCAAAAAATATCACATAAATCTAAACAGACAGTACAAATCAAAGAAATCAAATAAATATATCAATTTTGTAGAACATTTATTGACGGTCAATTTTGGGTCACTTTTTAAAATTAATTTACTTTTAAACCAGGACTCGGACAAGATCTTATGGGACCTTAAGCGGAATATGATTAAGCAACTCCGTCTTTCTGTCAAGAACATCCACCAGCAGGGTATCCAGGGGGGGATTTACCATTAGGCAATACTAAGCAGTTGCCTAGGGCCCCAAGTTCCTGGGGGCCTCAT